TCTTACTAATTCTTTGCGTTCAAGCCAGTAGAAATCCTTCTGGGAAGCTTTGTACTTGTCTTGATGTGTGTTGTACATGATCCTTGGAATTGTCTTTCAAGCTGCCTTTCAGGTCCTTGACCAGTGTTGTGCAACCTTTTTTGTCTCCTGGTACACTTGAACCTATAGTTAAACTTCTGCAGTACATTTGAATTGTGTTGATACCAAAAAGGAGTAAAAAGAAAAAAAGAATCTATTTACTATGCTTTGAACTTCTTTCAAAAATAATTTAATTAATGATCTTTAAAAATTTTCGTGGCACACCTAAGATCTGCACAGGGCAGACCAGTGTGCCGCAGCACAGTGGTTGAAAATCACTGTCCCAAACCCAGGATTGTGCAGTAGGACCAACACTCTGGTCAGCCAGCTGCCCTGACTTTCTAGAACTTAAGAGAGTCCCATCTCTTTCCTGGAAGTGACGAATGATGTCGACAGCTGCCGTCCGCAGGTTCTGGGTGCTTTGTGCACATCATCATGTTTAATATCCACACCGTCATATTGGATAGTAGCAATTTTTACTTTCATCTGACACGTGAAAACAGAAAGTTTGGAGAGGGTGAGTAGCAGCCGCAAGGTCACATGCAGAGCTGGGATTTGATCTGAGGCCTGACTCTGGAGCTTCTTTCTCTTCTCCCCATTAGATTGTGTTTCCCCTGAGCGAACATGAAACAAACAAACAAAAGCCCTCCATGGTGAAAGATGCTTGTGAAACTTTGCTGTTTCCACTCTTACCTTGGAGAATTAAAATGCACACAGCCTGTTGAAATTCTCAAGAGCTCTTGTGGGAAAGACACCTATTTATTTTTTTTAAACGAGAATTTCAGACTCCTTTAAAACATAGACTTCCTCCTCATCCTCTTTCTCTTCTTTTTAAGAGAATTCCACTTCATTTTCTTGACTACCTAGTATTTTCTAGAATACACTTTGGCAACCATTACATTAAGCCAGTCTCCTCTCTTTGGACTTCAGTTTCCCCATCTGTAAAATTAAGGATTTGGGCATCTGGCATGATGGTATGACTGGTGCTTGGCCTGCCCTCCAGCCGTAAGCAACCAGAAATCTGGGTAAAATCTATGAAACAACTACTTTCATGGCTGGGTACATTAGCTCACTCCTGTAATCCTAGTGCTCTGGGAGGCCTAGTTGGGTGGATTGCTTGAGTTCAGAAGTTTGAGATCAGCCTGAGCCAGAGTGAGATCCCATTTCTAAAGAAAAACTAACTGGGTATTGTGACAGGCTCCTGTAGTCCCAGCTACTTGGGAGGTTGAGGCAAGAAGATCGCTTGAGCCCAAGAACTTGCGGTTACTGTGAACTATGAAGCTATGGCACTCTACTAAGGGTGACAAAGTGAGACTCTGTCTCCAAAAAAAAAAAAAAGCAACAACTGCTTTCAGACACTGAACTACAGGCAGCTCAGGACTATGATTCCTGGGAGCAGAACACTTTCTTCATAGAGGTCATTTTCAAACCATGGCACAGGATGGTGGAACCCAAGTATAATGGGGCAGTCTCTCTGATTTGAATGGAATTTGGGGAATTTGAATTCATCATGTGTTCTATCCTAGCTGTCCTGTGTTCATTCTGCTGGTTAGTCACGGAGTAGGAATTACAGGCCAGGCATTATAGAAGGCTTCCCCATGGAGAGTTATTTTGGCTTAGACCTTAAGGATGAGTATGAATTCACCAGGCATAAAGAGCAGGTGGGGGGGGAGAGGAAGGCAGAGGGAACAGCATGTGTGAAGGCACAGTGAAGGGAGGGGACAGGCATCCAGGCCCTACTGAGAGCCCCCCACCATCCCCTACTAGCTCAGACCTGGGCAGAGAATGGCCATGAGAAATGCAGAGGGCTGGACTTGAATAAGCCCCTTTTGCAGCCTCCCCAGGACAGGAGGAGGGAATTGAGTATAGTCACACACCATGTAACAACCTTTTGGTCAGTGATGGACTGTGTATGTGATGGTGGTCCTTTAAGATTATAATGGAGCTGAAAATTTCCTACTGCCAAGGGTGCAGTGGCTCAGGCCTATAATCCCAGCACTTGGGAGGCCAAGGTGGGCGGAACTCACAAGTTCAAGACCAACCTGAACAAGAGTGAGACCCCATCTCTAAAAAATAGCTGGGTGCTATGGCGGGCCCCTGTAGTCCCAGCTTCGTGGAAGGCTGAGACAAGAGAATCACTTGAGCCCAAGAGTTTGAGGTTGCTGTGAGCTAAGATGCCACGGCACTCTACCAAGGGTAACCAAGTGAGACTTTGTCTCAAAAAAGAAAAAAAATTCCCATTGCCGAGTAATGTCATAGTCGTCATAGTGGTGTAGTCAGTACAAGGCATTACTCACATGTTTGTGGTGAGGCTGGTTAAACGAACCTACTGGGCTTCTTGTCATATAAAACAGTCTAGCACATACAATTATGTATGGTACACAATACTTGATCATGATAATCACTGTTGCTGGTTTGTTAATTTACTACACTATACTTTTTATCATTATTTAAGCGTGTACTACTATTTGCAAAAAAAAAAGTTAACTGTAAGACCCCCCTGGGGCAGATCCTTTAGGAGGAATTTGAGAAGGCTCTGTGTGTTATTGCCCTTGAAGGACTTCTAGTGGGACAAGATATGGGGGTGGAAGACAGGGATATTGAAGATCTTGACCTAGTGTAGGCCCAGGCTAAAGTGTGTGTTTGTGTTTTAGTTTTCAATAGAAGAGTTTAAAAAGTAAAAAAAAAAAAAAAGTTAAAAACAGGAAAAGCATATAGAATAAGGCTATAAAGAAACAAAATATACAGCTGTATAATACATGTGTTTTAAGTGTAATTATAGGAGTGAAAATTAAAAAAATGAAAAAGTGCCATGGAATATTATGCAGCCATAAAGAAAGATGGAGACTTTACGTCCTTCGTGTTCACATGGATAGAGCTGGAAAATGTTCTTCTTAGCAAAGTATCACAAGAATGGAAGAAAAAGTATCCAATGTACACACCCCTATTATGAAACTAATTTAGACCTTTTATATGAAAGCTATAACCTAATAACAGCCTAAGAATACGGGGAGGGGGGAGGGAGAGTGGAGGGGGGAATGGGTGGAGGGAGGGGGATTGGAGGGATCACTTCTGAGGTTTATCTTACAAGGGTACAAGTGAATCTTTCTAAGAGTAGAATGTGAACGTTTTTAAATAATAACTAAGAAAATGACATGAAGGCTATGTTAACCAGTTTGATGGAAGTGTTTCAGATTGTGTGTGAAAACACCACACTGTACCCCAGAAGTGCATTAATGTACATAGTTACCATTCAATAAAAAAAAAAATGAAAAAGTTTATAAAGTAAACAAGTTACAATAAGCTAAGGTTAATTCTTTCTATTGAAGAGAGAAAATATTTTTTAGTAGATTTAGTGAGTGTACAGTGGTTATACAGTCTACAGTAGTGGACAGTGATGGCCTAAGCTCTCACATTCACTCACTACTTGTTCACTGACTCCCCTCAAGCAACTTCCAGTCCTGCAAGCTCCATTTTTAAAAATCTTTTATATTGTATTTTTACTGTACCTTTTCTATGTCTAGTTATATTTAGATACACAAATATTCTCCACTGTGTTACAGGCACCTATTCAGTACAGTCACATGCTGTATGGCATATGGCCTAGGAGCATAGACCACACAGCCTAGGGTCATCGGAGGCCATACCATGTAGGTTTGTGTGAGAAGGTTGTAATGTTCCCATAACCACGGGCTTACCTAGCAACACGTTTCTCAGAAGTCTTCCATCCCAGTCGTTAATCTACGCATGACTATTTAGTGAGTGGCAGTGAGTGTCCCAAGGTGGGTGTGACTGTTTCCCTAATCCCAGGACCTAATCTCTGGGGCAAGAGTGGGATGTCCTTGGGAATGCTGACCGGAACAGCCGGGAGGGGGAAGTTTTCCTAAGGGTGCCTAGGGCTCTGTGAATCTCCAACCTATCCCCATTGGCTGAGGCCCCTGCACAGGCTGACAATGGAAATGCTTGCTCAGGAGAAACGCTCCCATTCAGGTGCCTCTCCAGTTAATCTGCAGTGTGTGTGTGTGTGGGGGGGGGGAGGGGGGCGGGCAGCAGCTGCTAACTTCCGGATTTGCTTGTCTTTGAATGGGGGTAATTGCTGAGAGTTGCCCATGTTCCAGATTGTTCCCTGGAAGGGGGAAGAGAGAGGGGGCTGTCACAGGCTCTGCTGTGTGCTACCCCCTGCTGGTAGCAGGGTGAAGACTCACCAGTGTGGCAGGGCCATGGGGCCCTCAAGGGTCACCTGACCTGACTGTCAGTCTGGCCCCCAAATGCAAAGGGAGGGGGTCACACAGGGTGGGCCCAGTCAGGCCATTTGGCTCCAGCAAACATCCCAGCATCCTCTACCTTGGCTGCTTGCCTCCTTCCCCTGAGTCCAGGCTGGGGCATGTGTGTCAGGGCCATCTCTGCCTTTGTCTGACTGCAGGAGACCAGCGCAGTGGTGCAGTCACTGAGGCCAGCAGCCTCCTGGGGGGCTCTCCGCGGCGGCCGTGTGGCCGGAAGGGATCCCCGTACCACACTGGGCAGCTGCACCCTGCGGTACGTGTGGCCGACCTCCTGCAGCACATCAACCAGATGAAGACGGCCGAGGGCTACGGCTTCAAGCAGGAGTATGAGGTGCACGCAGGCCCCCAGGCCAGCAGGACCCCGGCAGGCCGAGTCTGGCTCCTCTTCACTGTGCACTGACCCTGGCAGCCCTCACCCCAGTCCCTGTTGGATCCCTGGTCTGACAGTCCTGCCACAACCTGACCCTCTCTGTACCTTGACCCCCATCCTGATTCAGACTGACCTGGTTTCTTACTGTCATGTTAAGCCTGATTTGAAATCTGACTATTTGATTTCAACCCCGATTACAATCTGATTGGAAATTTAGTCTCTATCTGGATCCTAATCTTTATTCTGTCCCTAATCTGAGCCTGACCCCAACATTGACCTTGACCTAACCCTAGTCTGACATTGATCCTGACTCTCACCCTAAGCTCTCTTTCAATCCTGACTGAGATTCTGTCCTACCCCCATCTGCACTCTGACACCACCTATATCCAAATCTGAATTTGACCCACACCTTTTTACCTCTTCCAGCTCAGACCTGGATTTGACCTATTCTAAGCAGTCCCTTATTCCAAAATATCTCTGAACTCTGACCCTCTTTGTTTTCTCTTCTCATTTCCCTTCCCCAACATTCTTGGTCTCGAACCTGGTCCCTTGCTGATAAAGGGACCCACAGTGAATTTATCTCAGGCTCCAAGTTCAGCCTTGAACATGGTCTTTATTGTGGCCCCACCTCCACCCTGCCCACATCATCCCCATTGAGGGGAAGGGATCTTATGCATGGGGTCCCCTACCCCATTGACTACCACTTTCCCTCCTGGCAGAGCTTTTTTGAAGGCTGGGATGCCACAAAGAAGAAAGACAAGCTCAAGGGCAGCCGGCAGGAGCCTATGCCTGCTTGTGAGTTCTGGGGAAGGGCCCATGGTCTAAGGCAGGCAGTGGGTGGAGTGGGTGGAGGAATCAGGAAAGGGGAGCACAGCCAAAGTGAGCTCTGGGGAAGTCTCAGAGGTTGTGGAAGTGTTGGGAACCATTTCCTGAGGGCCCAGCATATGCTGAACCCCGTGCTGAGCTTTACATCCATTATCTCACTTATTCCTCTCCAATTACCCTGTGAAGTAGGTACTCTTAGAATCCCCATTTCACAGATAAGGAGGTTAAGACTCCTGCTCAAAGTCACACAGCTAATTGCCTGATGTTTGGGAGACATCCCAGCTGTTTGGGAGACTGAGGCAGGAACATTGCTTGAGGCCATGAGTTTGAGTCTGCAGTGTGCTATGATCATGCTTCTGCATTCCATCCACAGAGTGAGACCCCTGTCTCTTAAACACAAATTGCCTGAGCAGCATACACTCTTGACCTTCTTTGGTTTTAGACTCTAACCCCTGGCCTGTCCTGCCTCCTGCAGTGTTCAGAGCCTACTGGTCCATCCTGAGCCTCTAGGGTTCCTGGCTGCCCTGCCTGTGTTCCACCCCTGGCCTCCAGGAAGACCTCCCCAACTGCACTCATTCTGGGCTGCACAGTTCAGCCCCTGTCCGCCTGCTCTGTGTTTACAGATGATCGGCACCGAGTGAAACTCCACCCGATGCTGGGAGACCCTAATGCCGACTACATTAATGCCAACTATATAGACGTGAGTGCCTTGCCCTGTCATTTCTGCAGACCTGGCCCTGTCCACTCCAGGCTCACGTCCAAGCAGGACGGAAACTTTTCAGGGGATAAAAGGGGGTTCAGATGGGGCTGAGTGCCTCTACCTCCTGCTTTTGGTGCCAGGGAGCTCAGAGGAGGGGGAGGACAGAGTGGGTGGCAGCCTTTAGGAAGGCTTCCTGTAGGCTGGAGTTCTCTTGAGAGATAGGGGGCTTCAGTGAAGCACAACAAAGGGAAGAGACAGACAGCTAGGCCTAGGGATGAGGAGGTATCCCCTCGTGTGAGGGGCCAAGAGGCTTGAAGGGTGGGATTCTCCCAATTCACTGTGAGGCTGAAGAGTTAGGCAGGGACTGGGTTGCGAAGGCTTAAGTGGCAGGCTCTGGAGTTGGGGCTTATTTTCTGGGGACACCAGGGAGTTGGGACAGTGTTTTGATTATGTTCAGAAGGGTGCTTTCAGAATAATAGTGCACATGTATTGAGAATGTACTGTGTGCCAAGCATTTTATACCTAATACCTCACTTTATATAATCTTGCAACCACTCTTCAGTAGTCAGCTTCATGACTTCACTTTACAGGTGAGGAAACTGGGGCTCAGAGAGGTGAAGCTACTTGTCCTAGGTCACACAGCTAGTGAATGATTAAAAAAAGGACTCAAACCTCAGCCTATCCGTGTGTTTTCAAAACCTTTGCTGCTGACCATTAGGCTATTTCCACACCCACTGCAGCAGCTGGACCGGGGTGGATTGGAAGGAGGGGGTCAAAGACAGGGCACACAGCCACAAGGCCTATGTTTGGATCTCAAGAAGAGGAGATAAGACTACTCCAGAAGGGTGGATGAGTGGTGAGACAAGACAGGGCCCAGGGACCCTGGTCAGACTCCCCCTATCCCTACAGCAGACCCAGTTTGGGAGAGCACCATTTGATGGTTTATAAAATATATTTTGAGCACTATCTATGTGCCAGGCATTGTGCTGGGTATCAGGGATACAGATGTGAACAAATAAAGGCATGGCCTCTGCTTTCCGTGAACAATATGCTAGTCAGGGAGAAAGATAAACATGTATGCAAATGAATACTTTCAGATTGGCTGGGGAAGCACAGGCCAGAAAAGAGGAGGTACGTTCTCAGTGTCATACAGCAAGGTAGTGGCAGAGGCAGGGCTGGCGCGGAGAGAAGGAAGGAGCGGGAGAAGGGAGAGGCATTACAAAGGCTTGAGGTGCCAGGAGGATCCAGGTGCAGGTCTGGGAGCAGAGGTGGTCAGGCACTGGGAGGTGGTCTCTCCTCTCCCTCTTCTCATCCTCCTCCTGGGGCCGGATGTACTGCCCCGTGTCCTCCAGAGTCCCTTGCCTTCTCCCCCACCCATCCTGTCCCTTGGCTGGGGTTAGGGCTGGGCCTGGGCTCACAGACTTGGGCAGCTTTGATGACAGAGGGCCTCTCTGTCTAGTCAAGGTCCCAGTCGGCTTCTCTTGGGCCCCAGCAGGGACATGCCACCCACCCCTCTCTGGCCCAGACTGGCCTGGCCTGGCCTGCCGTCTCTGCTCTGCCTGCCCGCTCACATCGCCCATTCTGGCCACTCCTGTGCTCCGTCCACATCCATCTGCCTCTGGCCTAATATCTGTCTCTTTTGCTTTGTACTGTTCCCTCACTGGAATCATTAAGATTCGGATAAACCGTGAAGTAAGTATCTCTCTCCCCTCCGCCTCCTCCTCCTTCTCTTCCTCCTGTCTGTCTGACTGGCTGTATCTCAGACTCTCTCACAGTCTCTGGCTGTCTGTCTCTCTCTGTCTCTGTCCTCCTTCCCCTCTACTTGTGTGCCCAGCACCAACCGTCCATTTCAGCAGCCTGGCCAGGGGCCACCCAGGACTGAAGATTTGACAGTGTCCCTGTTGTAAGCAGTTGCCTCCCATCCACCACTACCTTGAGACCAGGCAGCAGTGTTGGAGTGCTTGCATCAGTCCCCACTGTCTGCCACTTTTGTCCCTTAGCCCCACCATTCCCAGTGAGTCCTCACTAGGAGGACCTGCAGGACCTTGGGACAGGCAGGGGGAAGGAGGCTGACAGGGTGGCCCTGTCTCTGTTGTTTAGGGGTCAAGGTGTTTGGACAGTCCTGGGTCAGTCCCCCTAAAACCAGCTTTCCTAGTGTTCAAATCCCTTCATGATTAGTTTTCTTGAAACTCATCCCCAACCACTTTGCCCTCAATTTAGCCCTAATTCAAATGTTTTTTTGGGAGGGGGAAGTGGTTTAGGTATTCTATTTTTTAAAATTGTGCCATCTTTTGGCCTTTTAAGAATTAAAAAAAAATGCCCTAATACTTCAAGTGATCTTCTAATTTGGTTTTTAATACATTTATAGTATTTCCATAGTATTTAATGGCTGAGGGGATTATTTGCTATTACATGCATGCCTTTTCTTATTTTATCTCCTCTTTCCTTTAAAAAATATATTTCTTGCTTTTTTATGATTGCTCAAATACTGTGCATTATCAGATTTTCAGACAACATGGAGATGCTTAGGATATAAAGTGAAAGGTCCCCATAGTCACGTCTCCTGGACATGACTGGTTAGCCCAGATGTACCCCTTATTTTGAGGGTGCCTTAAAATAAGGCAATTGGTTTGTCAATTTCCCACATTTAAAGGGAATATTAGACTCCCAAAACACTGTGGATATGCCCCATAAGGAAGTGCCCCATAAGGAAGTGATGGATACAGGTCATTGCACTTCTTCATATCTCAATTTTCACAACAACCCACTTGCTCTCAAGTCCAACCCATTTGGTTTGTTGTTGTCAGATTTTTTTTTTTTGAGACAGAGCCTCAAGCTGTCCCCCTGGGTAGAGTGCTGTGGCATTACAGCTCACAGCAACCTCCAACTCCTGGGCTCAAGCGAGTCTCCTACCTCCGCCTCCCAAGTAGCTGGGACCACAGGCGCCCGCCACAACGCCCGGCTATTTTTTGGTTGCAGAGGTGATTGTTGTTGGCGGGTCCGGGCTGGGGATTCGAACCCACCACCTTAGGTGTACGTAGCTGGCGCCTTAGCTGGTTGAGCTATAGGCGCCGAGCCTGTTGTCAGATTCTTAAGAATTACCCTGGGAAGACTTGGCTTAATACTTGGTCAAATGCCAGTTAACAGTAGTGCCATTGACTGAGCTCCTGCTGTGTTCCAGGCACTTAAGACACATCATTTCATCTTTACCACACTCTGTATGTTAGGGACCATACTGACCTGCATTTGGCAGGTGGAAAAATTGAGGCTTGGAAAAGTTAAGTGACTTGCTTAGGGCCACACAGCTTTTAACTGGCAGAACTGGGTCACAAACCCAGCCTTAGCCTTCAACCCTTACACTGGACTGTGGTTCTCACCCTCTGTGGGTGCAGTTCCCTGCTCTACCCAGTCGGGACCCAGTGAGGGCACTGTGAACACCTGGGCCCTGCCCATGCCTCCTGGAGAGTGAGGGCCAGTGCTCTCCAAGGTTGGTGTCCAGCTTTGGTATATACAAGGCGATCTGCTGGTCTTCCTTTAAAATCTGGTCATTTTAACTTTCTCTTTCCGTCCTTTATGTAATATAATTGTGCAGTAATAAATAGACACATATTTTTAAATGCAGATAGTGAGGGTTATTCGCTCAAACATTTGTTTCAGGTAGGATTGTGTGACAGTCGTGTGCCCATTGTATGACACTTTCTCTAAAAAGATACCTCCAAACAACAGAAGACTAGGACACTGGAATTAAGCAGAAATGTTTGGAATAGAGTTGAATTTTGGACTAACTGGTCCTTGGGCAAGTGGATCGGTTTTAACTGAGTTCTGTTCCTCTTCTTTGAGCACTGGCACTGTGCCAGTGCTCAGGGCAGAGCTGAGGGAAACAGGCGAGGCCCCTGATCTCATGTGGCCTTAGGCAAACTGGTTTTAGGTGGGGGTAGCCTGTTTCCAGCTTGACTGGCACTGGCACTGGCAGTGGGAGGGGAGCCTGGCTGCACCTTTAATGGTCCCCCCAATCACCCTCTGTACATCCTCCTCTGACCCAGCTGCCTGGAGGCTCTGTTGAGGACTTGAAGCAGACATGACCACAGGAGGGAGTTAGGCCAGATCTAGAAAGGTTCCCAGTGGTAAGGGCTGAGAGTCTCTGGGAGGTTCTTCATTATTATCAGCAGTTTTGACTGTGTTTTGGTGATATTCATGGGAACAGTAGGTAAGCATACAATAGAATCTCCGTGTGTGTCCCTTGCTGTTATCTTCTTACTGTCAAGGAGAGCGGAGGCCAAGGGAGCTGGAGAGCGCTGGCTTCTCAGAATATGTTTTGAGGCCCAGCAGTGTGGGCACCACCTGGGAGCTGGTTGAAAACGCACCATCCCAGGCCCTACCCTAGACCTTCTGAATCTGAATCTGCCTTTTAACCAGATCCCCAGGAGATTCATGTGTACACTGAAGGCTGAGAAGCATCCTCTTAGCACTCAGAGTCACACAGCTACTCCTTGGCAGAGGTGCGACAGAGACGGAGGCCCGTTTGACTCCAAGACTGTTTTCTAACCCTACAGTCAATCGCCTTCCTCCCTAGCAGTTCTTGACATCCTCTTGTATCCACTTGATCCATTTTTATCCTCACGGATATTCCTTAAGCTTTAAAATAGTAGTAGTAATAATAATAGTGGCTACTACTGATTAAGTGCTGACTTTGTGCTTGACACAGTGCCAAACGTTTATTTTAGTTAATCCTCACAACAGCCCTAGGAGGGAAATGCATAGTACTACATTTATGCTGTTTTATAGATGTGAAAATGGAGGCGTAAAAAAGTGAATGGCTTTTTGCCTAAAGTGCACCCAGCTGGCAAAAGGCAGAGCTGGAATTTGAACCCTAGTGGTTGCTGGGAGCTATGTTGAGAGCGTGAACTTGATGCAGGGGGCCGACAGTGATGGTTTCCTGCAGTTCCCATTTCCACGTGGCCCACAGCGATGCGCTGGGTATCTGGTGGGCTCTTGCGCCCAGAAAGATGAGGCCTGTGGCAGGACCTTAAGGGTGGCTGTGGCCCTGGGGTGGAGCATAGGTGGGACTGGAACCTCTCCTCAGCCTGAGGTCTCAGGGGATGGAGGATAAAGGAGCTCTTGGCCTGCTTTGTGGGAAATGGTGCAGGTAAAGTGCTTAGCACAGTATGTGATCATAACAGGGTCTCAAAAATTCACCATCATTATTATTGACTTTAAAGATTATTATCTAAGGGCCATGAGTGACCCTTACACTTCCAACCTGAAGCCTTCATCTAGGCCTCCCAAGCTGAGTGACCGAGGTGGTGGGCATGGGGTGCTGTCTACTCTGGTTGCCCTGAGGATGGCTGTGATAGCTGACAAGCTCTGGTTACCCCATGTTGGGGGTCTTTTGGGACTCTGTCATCCTAGGGCAGGGTTATCCTAGACTTTTTCTCCCAATGATAGCCTGGTTATAAGCAGATAACTATCCTCACTTTATGGGTGGGGAAACCTTCTGGCCCATGAAGGAGTCCTGTCCTCCCTAGGGCCTTACAGAAAAGGTGGGATTAAACCCAAGACACTAGTGTCCTAGCTGCATTCTTCCTTCCTTGGGGACTGGGAGAACAAGGTCACCCTGGTTAGGAGGCCATGGGGATGAGGGTGGGGTAGGTTCCTGGAGGGATGGGGGGTGCTGCTTCTGGGAGAAGAGAGCGAAGGAAGTCTGGGGAGTGAGGGGCTGCTCCCTGGGGTCTAACCACGCCTTCTTCTCCTGTTCCAGGGTTACCACAGGTCAAACCACTTCATAGCCACCCAAGGTACCTGGCATCTCTGCTGCGTGTGCCCAGCGATGTGCTGGAGTCCCCTCTGCCTGCCTTTCTGCCTTCCTGCTGCTCTGCCTGGCTCCTGTCTGCCTCCCATCTGCCTCCCTGTCTCTCTGTTTGCTTGTCTGCTTCCTGCCTGCTGGCTGAGTCTCACCTGGCCCTTGGCCTCGGTCCCCCCTTTGTGTTAGCGTTCAGTCCTTTGTTAGCAGGCTGTTCTGTCTCCAAGGTGGCATGTGCAGAAGAGCTAGCCAGGCTTAGTCCTCATGGGTGTGCATTGTGCCCGTCGGTCTGGTGCTGCCTGGGTTTCTGCCTCTTTTCCCTGACTGTCCATCCGTCTGTCCCTCCTGGGGACTTGTGCTGGGGACTGAGGGTCTGGCCCTCCAGCTCTGGGTCCTATTCAGGGTGCCTGGGGTGTGCAGCCAGGCCCTCTCCTGATGGCCCACCCAGGGCCCTGTAGGCATGAGTGGGCTGTTGAGAGGTTTGTGTGGAGTGGTGGTGCTGGACAGTGGGGTATGCTGGTCCTGGGCAGAAATTTTGCCTCAGGGGCAGGCACACTCTGCATCCCCAGGGCCGAAGCCTGAGATGGTCTATGACTTCTGGCGCATGGTGTGGCAGGAGCACTGTTCCAGCATCGTCATGATCACCAAGCTGGTTGAGGTGGGCAGGGTAAGCGGGGCTGTGGGGTGGGCTGGGGGGGCATGGAGGGCCAAGGGGGTAGTGAAGAGCCCACTGAATCTTGTATCATGGGGACTGCAGGTAAAATGCTCCCGGTACTGGCCAGAGGACTCAGACATGTACGGGGACATCAAGATCACGCTGGTGAAGACAGAGACTCTAGCTGAGTATGTCGTGCGCACCTTTGCCCTGGAGCGGGTGAGTCTCCCCGCAGAGGGCGCCTGAGAGGTGGGGCAGGAGCAGGAGGGGCAAGGAGGGTACCACTGCCAGCCTCAGCGAAGAAGCTACCTGGGCACTGTGCTGGGAGCACCGTGGAAGGTCAGGATGGTCAGTGTTTCTGCTGGTGACTCCAAGAGGAAGTTGAGAAGTGGAAATGATGACAGTAACTGCCAGGTGCTGGCTCCCACTCTGCACTGAGCTTGTTACCCATGTTATTTCCGTCCAGGAAGGTGATGCAGGTTAGGTGTCTACTATTAGCCCATTTTACAGATAAAGAAAGTGAGGCTCTCAGTGGTTATGTCTTGTGTAACAGGCCATATCATTAGTGACTGGCCACTGAGCCCTGTCCATGATCCCATTTGATCTGCCCTGTATAATCCTTGGAGGAAAGAGGGTTTTTCCCTTTTAAACCAGACCCAGGGAGTCAAAATGATCTCTTCTGTTTACACAACAAGCTGGTGGCAGAAGTGGGTGTTTAATAGTGTCAGGCAGATCCTGTCCAAGTCCTGTATGTTGTCTGTTTGTCCAACCCTGCAAAATAGCTTCTCTTCTTTGAGCCTTAGTTTTCTCACTTGTACAATGGTTAGTACCTCATCAATGTAGTATCATTGGCATTGATTGAGATCATGTGATGAGGAGCTCATCACAGGACCTGGTGCACAGCAAGTGTCTGACAGATGCTGCCAGTTGCCAGTTGCTCTGACTGTTATTACTGTGGTCTCTGCAGAGAGGCTACTCTGCCCGGCACGAGGTCCGCCAGTTCCACTTCACAGCGTGGCCAGAGCATGGTGTCCCCTACCATGCCACAGGGCTGCTGGCCTTTATCCGGCGCGTGAAGGCCTCCACCCCACCTGATGCTGGGCCCATTGTCATCCACTGCAGGTGGGAGCACTGGGGTTCCCAAGGAGAAGAGGGCCAGTGGGGAGGGAGCTTGGGGGGGGGGGAGTTGGTTCAGGGTCTATAGGAGGGCCTAGGCCTGGGCTTATCTTGCTCAGAGACAGAGAACCAGGAGGAAAGACCCTGGAAAGACCCTTTGCCCTTTGTTCTTTGACTCTGAGGTTGGTACCTTCATATGCCCCCTAAGACCTGTGAAGCCCCTTGACCCAGGTGCTGGGAGGTGCTGGAGACAAGGAGGAAGGCGATTTAGGGGTTGGTGAGGCACCAGGCACAACCGAGTTTGGCCTGGATCCACTGAACAGGTGTTTGTTGCACACCTGCTGCGTGCTACATTTGGCTTAGGGCTGGGAAGCTTTACTTTTTTGCCAAACTCGGTGGGCCTTGCTTGTTCCTTTGGCCTTCATACCCTTAGCAGACCCTGAGTGGCTTCTATGACCCCAGCTGCCCTTTCTTTGTCTGCTCTGCTTCCTCCCTGGCTGCACATCTTTCTCTGGCCTCTTAAATGGGGGCCCAGAATTCTGTCCTCCCCACCCCACAGCCCTAAAAGCTGTGGCTTTGGCAAGTAACCTGGAACAAGTCCAAGGCCTCAGTGTTTTGTCTGGACTCTTCTGTTGGATTTTTACCAGCTCCCCAAATGCCACATGGCAGACTCCTTCTCCCTGCCCTGCCACCTGTACCAGCAGCTTTTCTTTGATTTCTTTAGGCCCCTGTAAGATACCATCTTATTAGAATATTAATGTAACTTTCTTGATATATAATACACTTAAAGCAAAGTGCACAAATACTAAGTGTGGGACAGCCACATCCACAGTGGCCATGTGGCAGAAGAGTGTTTTAATAAAAGCCTTCCCAGGTTGCTCTGGGAGCGCCGAAGAATGACATCTGCCCAGAAGTGTTAGAAATACTCCAGCGAGAATGTGAATGGGTAGGAGTGTGTAGGGTTTTGATGGATGTGCAGGAGATGAGGAGAGGACATTCTTGGATTAGCTCTGAGCATCCCTGTTATCCCTCTCCCCTAGCCCAAGTTACTAAGAAGTTTCGTCTCTGCAGACTCCCTGCCCTCACCATCCCTCTTCTCCACCCCAGCTCTGTCCTGTCATACTTGATGAGAACTCCTCTATCCAGCAGCCTGATCCCTGCTTCTTCGTGCTTGGGGCGGGGAGGTCTTCTCTGGATCCCGGTCCCCTGTGTGGTATAGATACAGCCAGTCCTCTTCTCCTCTTCTTAGTCCCAGGCTCCCTCCCCAAGGGTCTGATGTGGCCTGGGCCTGCTTTTTCCCCAGCGCGGGCACTGGCCGCACAGGATGCTACATTGTCCTGGATGTGATGCTGGACATGGCAGAGTGTGAGGGCGTCGTGGACATTTACAACTGCGTGAAGACCCTCTGCTCCCGGCGTGTCAACATGATCCAGACTGAGGTGCAGGGACCTGGCCCTGTCCCCACCAGTTTCTCTAGGACAGGAGTCTTTGAGGAAGGAGCGCAGTGCTGGTGGAGTGTGTCCAAAGGCTCTTCCCTTCCCTAGGGTCCTTCCTGAACTTGGCTGCCAGCCTCTTAGGGTCTTCCCAAACTCAGCTCCACTGTGTTCTGTTGGGGAAGGTCAACAACAATGGGTTTTTTAGTCAAGACATCACTGGGTTTGCATCCTCACTGGACTCACTTAACTAGATAAGCCAGGATTTGAACCCAGGATTTGTGACCTTGGGCTGTCCCTTCACCTCTCAGAGCATCTCACAGGGATGAAATAGGAGATAAGTGAGCATGTCCATGGTGGCATGTGGTTGGACTCTGACCTTACCTTGACCTCGAGCAGCTCTGCAGCTTCTAGTCCTCTCCTTATTCTTGTATTCTTGTCTTCTGTTCCAGGAGCAGTACATCTTTATTCACGATGCAATCCTGGAGGCCTGCCTGTGTGGGGAGACCACCATCCCTGTGAGTGAGTTCAGGGCTACCTACAAGGAGATGATCCGCATTGATCCTCAGAGTAATTCCTCCCAGCTGCGGGAAGAGTTCCAGGTGGGGAATGAGCGTGTGTATAGGTGTGGAGCTTGTGTTGGGAGGTCTTTAGTACTATAGGAGTCATTGAGGACCCAGCAGGAGGAACCAGACTGAGACCACAGTTGGAGGGATGGGGTTGGGCTACAGGAAGGACTTTGAGACAGTAGAGGAGATGGTCCATTCAAATGGTTAAGAGCGTAGGCTTTGGAGTCAGATAAACCTGGGTTCAAATCTTGGCTTACCTACTTAAGACCTGTGAGCATCTTTGAACAAGTCACTTTACCTCTCTAAGCTTTAGCTTTGTTACCCAGAAAATAGTTCCTGTCTCCTTTGCAATGTTTGTATTTAACTCTTTTGGCTGTGAATGATTAAAAATCCAACTCTTATAACTGAAAAGTGTGAGGAAGGTGCAGCTTCAGTTGTGGCTGGATCCAGGGGCTCCAGTGATGATGCCAACGCTTGGTCTGTCTCTGCTCTTGGTTCTGCTTTCCTATTTCTGGCTTCATTTTCAGACCTGCACTCGGGACCCAGCAGTGCCAGGCTCATATTATCTCTACCGTCAGGAGACTCTGGAAAAGGAGACTTGCTGCTCCCAATAACCCCAGCTAGTCCTTAGACTAGGCTCTCACTTGCCCATCCCTAAAGCAGTCACTGGGGCCAGCAGGAGCTTGCTGATTGGGCCTGGCTTTGGTTGCATGCCTGCAAGGCCTGGTCTGTCACTAGGCAGGCAGAGACCTGAGACAGTCTTTTCACACTAGGGTTCCTACAAGTGCTTAGTGGATGGCATATGCTGGGTGCCTGGTGCTCCAGAGCTGGCACAGGGTGATGCCATAGGAGATGCTGCCAGGGATTCCTGGCGGAGGGGGTTGGGCTTTGGGTATCATGAGACTTAGGTTTCTCCTGAGGGATCCCAAGACTGAGACCCTGGGAACCTGGAGGCACGAGGTTGTCAGGCATGTGGGTGGAGGAGATGCCCCAGAGGCCCTGGCTTGATTTAGTGCCAGATGCTCAGGACTTGCATTCTGTTCAGACAGGCTGTGACCAAGGAAGGTGACTACCTCTGCCAGGTCCCTGGAGTCTGCTTTGTGGAGGGTAGAGGGTTTCAGGGCTTGGCTCAATGAAAGCATTGCCAATCCAGTAACGATCCTCACTGTGCCCTGCGTGTGCCAGGCTTGGTGCTTGTTGTTGTCCCACTTTATCCTCCCAGCAGCCTCATGGAGCAGGCATATTACTTTCCCATTTTACAGTTAAAGAAACTGAGGCTAAGAGATATAGTCGTTTGTCTTACACAGGTGGTAAGAAAGCAGTCTGTAGTCTCCAGAGCTGTCTGGGCCCAGAGTGGCCTAGCAACAGGGAGCCAGGGTCCGTGCCCTCTCTCCTTTCTCTCTGGATCTTAGTTTCTCCATCCATAAAGTGGGGTTCATAGCACAGCCTGTCCTCTTTCATGGGTGTGATTCTTCCCTGTCACTCCTATGTCTTGTAGACGCTCAACTCAGTCACACCGCCGCTGGACGTGGAGGAGTGTAGCATCGCCCTGCTGCCCCGGAACCGCGACAAGAACCGCAGCATGGATGTCCTGCCTCCCGACCGCTGCCTGCCGTTCCTCATTTCCACCGATGGGGACCCCAACAACTATATCAACGCAGCTCTAACTGATGTGAGAGCTTGGAGATGGGGTGGGCTGGAGCACTTTCCCTCCTGGCAGCATCTGGGAGGGTTCAGGGGCCAAAGGAGCAGAGCTGAGGGCTCAGGTGGGGGGACCCTCTGCTCATTCTGGGGTACAGTCCCATGAGGTGACCCTCCTACCTCAGTGATCTTCCGTTTAGGGTGTTCAAGCCAGTGCTCCCCTGTTAGGTGTTATTTTCAGCCTGCCTGGGGGTCTGGGATGTGGAGTTCAGGCAGGGCTGTCTCCAGGATCAGGCCCAGTAGAGCCTGAGGTCAGCTGAGTGAATCAGGGGGATCCCTCAAGGGTTTGGGGTTGGGACTTAGGACCTTATGTGTGGAGCCAGCTTGTATTGAGGAGGTTGAGCTGGAGAATGCTCCAGAACCTGGCCTAAAAGGGTGACTTGTCCCCTGGCTCCAGCTTGGCTATGGTCTGAGGGCTCAGGAGGGGTCTCTGCCTCCTTTGCTGGAGGTGGATCCTGGTGCTTCAGGGCTCTGATGAATAAGCCCCATTCCTCCTCCACGCTGGAGCCAGTACAGGCAGGTAGAGATGAAAATGTTGCAGATAAAACAGGAGGGTGCTTGCTTGCTTGCTTGATTGATTTTTTGAGATATAGTCTCACTTTATTGTCCTCAGTAGAATGCTGTGGCATCATAGCTCACAGTAACCTCAAACTCCTGGGCCAAGTGATTCTCTTGCCTCAGCCTCCCAAGTAAAAGGGACTATAGGTGCCTGCCCCAACACTTGGCTATTTTTAGAGACAGGGTCTCAGCTGTTTTTAGAAATGGGGTCTTGCTCTGGCTCAGGCTCCTCTAACACATGAGCTCAAGCAGTCCACCCGCCTCGGCTTCCCAGAGTGCTAGGATTATAGCATGAGCCACTGCACCGGCCTAGAGGGTGGAGCTTTAGGTAAGTGGCCAAGTAGGCTGCTGCTCCCCCAGTGTGTTAGGTGAACTTGCCCTCTGGGGTGCAGCTGTGTACCTGCAGGCCACCCCTCCCCATGAGGAACAAGCCTTTATGTGTGGCAGGGCCAAGGGCAGATAGAGTACACACCTTTTGAGGGCAGGCTGGCCCAGAAAAGAGAGGAAGGTGCAGAGCTGAGCACCCTCAGCCATGGGAGGAGTGAATGCAGGGTGGGCCAAGGCTGGGTGTCCCTGCTGGATGTCCCTCCAGGCGGAAATGAGAAATGCAGAGAAGGGAGATTCTCCCACAGCAGGGCACAGGGAGATGGGCTTTCTGTGGCCTGGTTCCTGGCCAGGAGCCCTTTGGCAGGGCAGTGCAGGGGACAGTGGGGTTTCTCTGAATAGGAAGAGCTCCCACCCTTGCTTCTCAGAGGGCTTCCTGGTGGGAGCTGAGCTGAGGGGAGGAGCAGCTCAGCCACTGATGAGAGGGGCCTGTCAGTCATCTTCACTCAGCCTGGTGGATGGAGAGTGTGTGTGCCCATGTGCTTACCTGTGGACATCTGGTCTGCTGAGGGTCAGGGGTCCTGGACGGGTGGTGTGGGATACTGGGAAGATTATTGAACTAAACTTAGGAACCTATGGCTTCCCTCCTGGTCCCCTCCATGGCCTCACTGAGCCAATCTGCACATGGGTGTGGGGGATGGGGTAGGTAGAGCGTCTCTAGGGTCTTGAGCCTCTGAGCTGGGGCTTGCTGGCCCTGGTGGGAATGGGTCTGTTAGGTGGAAAAACTCTGTAACAACCATGCCCCTCCTGGGGTCCTTGATGCCTCTGACACTTGACCATGTGAGTCCTGGTGGTTCAGGAGCCAGGAGACCCTAATTCTCAGGGGGCCCTGAATGTGGGGTCTGTTCGGGGTGGTCAAATCAAGCCCTGTCCTGCACCCAGGGCTGAATTTTGGAGTCTGGCTGGGCCTGGCCCTGAGGAGCTGCTGATCTGTGAGCCTTCAGAGAGGCCTGGGGAGGGACAGCTGGTGGATTGGGAGGGAGGCCCTTATTTCTCTCTGGACTGCCCCTTACAGGATTACCAAGGGCAGGTCAAAGTTTAGTCAAGGTCAAAGTCAGAAGAAGCCACATAAGGGTCAGGGTACTGGGAGCCTGTGTCAGCCTATAGGTCAGGATGATGAGGGATTAGGGAAGGGGTTTGGAGGGTAAAAGCTGAGGAGAGGGATGGAGATCTGGCATAGGGTGGGATGAGGCAGGTCACCAGGGGAGCCTGGGGTTACAGCTCTGAGAGGAGA